CCTCCTGAAGAAGTTTCGATCCAATGCCTCTCATGTGCTTCCAGAAGAAAAAATAGAAACCATCATCACTATGGTGGACAACCTGGAGAACCTATCAGATAGTTCCCAGCTGGCCTGCAGCCTGTGAGGGAACAGCGAGTGGGTTTTTCACAAGGGACTTGTCCCAGTGAAACTCTGATTCCTTTCTTCATTGGTGCTTTACTATTAATTTCCAATGACAGGAAAGTTCTCACCCCTTGAAGTCAAAGTAGATGCTTTAATACCAAAGGAGCCCACGAGGTAGGAGGTGTGTCTGTGTCAGTTGTTAGTACACAGATTAAATTTCAACTCATGGTTGATGCTGTTTGAGTAGCTGAAAGGACACAGATATATAAAAAAAAAAAAGCATGGAAATCTATGAGAATCCTGGGTATCACCTGGAAGCCAGCTCCCCAGAAGAAACGGTGTCTGGATGTTTTCTGAAGCTGCATTCAAAGTTTTTTCTGTGCAGAATGCCTAACTGCTGAGTCTGGAAAGAAGAGGAAGTTCAGCTGCAAAAAGTGTGCTTTTCTTAGTGCTCTTCTGGGCACTTTTTAGATCATGGTTAGTTAGTCATGCTGGCCAGATGAAAAATCTATCAGTTACTGTAAACAGCCCTGCCTGCAAAACTCTCAGGCAGAGAGGGATTTTTTTTTTTCTTTTCCAGTAAAATCCTCCCAGTTCTCCAGCACTTGGGAAGGGTTTGCCACTCCTCCGTGTACGCGGGATGGTTCAAGGACCCTTAAAACCTGTATGTCTTTTCTGAATGAAGGGCAATTGGTAGGTGAGGAGCCCTACATCAGTCCTACACCTACATCCTACGTCTCCTGCGAGGTGATCCCTGCCAACGCCAGGGCTGTGCCACATCGTCCCTCCCGGCTTTGAGCAGGTCGCCCGGGCCCCTGTGCGGAGCTGGCTCACCAGGGGTAGTCTCTGCAGTCCGTGCGGAGATGGGCACCGCTGGATGCTGACTTGGGCACATACACGCTGTGACTCACATTGGGAAAATCCCTGTTTCTCTCCCCTGAGAGGAAAGAAAGCTTCCTGAGACTCGGTTCTTATCTCATCTTTCCAGCTGGGATGAAATCAGTACCTGTGCTCCTGAGTAGCCACTCACTGGAAGGCTTTCGCAGCCTGCATCCTTTCTGAAGAGTGAGATGAAGAACTATGCAACATTCCTCTGTACATTAAAGAAATACTGTGATTGCCAATCCAAAGGACTTGTTTCCAATATGATTGATCATGGTGTAGGTAGGGAATCTGTTGCAGAAGTGAGGGTTGCCTTCTGCAAGGGGGACCGAGATGGGACTAGACAGGCAAGAAGGAACGTGGGCTGGTTCCTTTTTAGCTTGCTGGTAGTGGTCTATGCAGAGAACTTCCCAGCCAGAGCAAAGCTGTTTGCCCACCTGTTAATCCACTCTCATACTCTCTAGCATATTCACACTGAATCTTTCTGAATAAAGAACTGAAGTAAATTCATTTTCTGCATAAAGATTTAATGCTACGTTACGTAGAACATCAGGTTTTCAGTTTTAATCTGAACATATGCAATACAAAGCCTTTTCCAATAGATTGGGAACGCAGCAGAGGCTAGGACAGGGCCAGCCAGAAGGCTGGCCTGTGGCCAGTGATTTCTCCAGAGTCATCTATTTACACGGAGCCCTGCAGGCTGTTTTTCCTGGTGAGAACACTAGCTATTAGCCAGCAGAGCCTGGCTGGGGATAGACACGATCTCTCAACAAAGAGAAGTTACCCAGTGTTTCTCCATTAAGCAACAGATTTCAAATACTTGCTGAGTGCCCATGACAAGCTTCTTGGTTCGAGTTAGGCGTGAGATCACCAAAAACATCATTCCATGTTTCAAAGCCCAGTGAACCGGGGACCCACAGCGCCAGTGCCTTCCAAGTCAGCCCTTAGCTCAACGTTTGTCTGGGGAATCAATGTGTGCCACAGAACCAAGGTGGGCTTCAGTGGAGGGAGCAATGCGTCTCCGTGGATTATCAGTGGTTTCAGTGCCCTAACGTTTGTTCCAGTGTTCTCATTTCCACGCCTTTTGCACCGTGCTGCAGTGATGCCCTGCAGCAGTGACGCTGAGCAGGAGAGGAGGGAACTAGCACCTTTTACCTGTCGGGGCTGGAGCAGAAAAAAAGAGCTTTTTGGTTGGGTTTCAGGCTACACTTTGTCCCTGAGATCCAGAAACCCTTCTAAACCTCGTTCACGTCTTGGCCGTCCCATCAGATGCAATCCTGACACCTTTCAGCAGACAATGTGAAAAATTAGGAAGGGGTGGCACAGGAAGGGTAGTAGGGTCCAACTTTCCTTTTATTGGGCCCCTTATCAGTTGAAGCAGTAAGTGGCTTTTCCAGAGCATCTAAGAGCTAAAGGCATACCTGAGATTTTTTTCATTCATGGTATTTCCTCTAAAAGCCGAGGTCCCTGGAAACGCCTCCAGCATCTCAGCCCAGGAAAATATCTCACTCGTCATTTCCACTTTCAAACAGAAAATGTTTCATATCCTTAACTAATTAGGAGGCCCAAACCTCTGGCGAGGGAAGTGAGGCCTTAAAAGAGCCAAACAAAAAAAATGACCTGTGAAAATTATAGACCAGCTTTTGTGACACTGAGGGCATTCCTCTTAGGCTGAATAAGAAAAGAGCCATTGTCCCTTTTTTCTACTGCTGTCCCAAGATAAATGACAGTTAAAATTAAGAAAAGGAAACATTTCTCCACAAACATATTTATGGTAGCAAGCTCAGTGAATGAAGGGACACTTGCAGGGCAGAGCCGGGCAGGCTCCGTGTTAGCCATCAATCAATAACTACAATCCCACGCCAGAAATTGGCAGGGCTCCACCGGCACAAGCGCTTGGCCAGGGAAAAGCCCTGACCCGTAGAGAGCGGGGAAAGGTGAGGCAGGGCTGGAGGGAGCCGGGTGCCACCATCAGCCCTCTCCCGTGGGCATCGGCCCTCTCCCGTGGGCAGCACCCACCCGTGGGGTCCCGGGGGCAGGGCTGG